TTGGAGTTAGAATGGGAATGTGGAGTGTGGAGGGAGAATGTAGAGTGGGGCTGCTACAGCTGGGGGGGAATGTGGTCACTGAAAGGGTATGTGTTCAGGAGAGGGTGCTGGCTGAGGTGGAGCTCAGCTCCTGAGATTGGTTCATTTATTTTGCACCTCTTATACAGTAAGATTGCACCAGGTGCTAGGGGGCAGCCTAGAGTGGGAGAGAACACGGTTAGTAAAGGTCAGCCTAGTGTGGCGACTGAGGAGATGGAGCGTGGGGGAGCACAAAGGAGAGAAGGCTTCACAGATGTGAGGACAGCAGAGTGAAATCCCTCTTTTAAAAACATTGGTAATATCTATTTTTTCTGATTATAAAAGAAACAAACTTGTGGAAAACAAAAAATACAGAAATGTATAAAGAAAAAGTTAAAATTAGTCTCAGATTCTAGAGAAAACCATAGCTAATATTTTTCCTTATTCCTCTGATCTTTTTCCTACATTTATCTGTCCATCTGTCCTTCTGTTTGTCTGCTCCATCTCTCTCTCTCTCTTTCTATTTGTTCTTCCATCCAGCTACCTATGTATCTATCATCTTCCTACCTTTTGATCTGGGTATATTATTTTCTAAACAGATTTGGGGTCATGCTGTATATAGAGTTTTATGTCCCCCTAGATTTCATTAAGATTATATTCTGAACATTTCCCATATCATTAAATATTTTCCACAAAACTGAGGAGGAAAAGGAAGACTTTTCCATGAAGGCTGGGGGAGCAGTTTATTCCCAACAGAGAGACCAGCATGCACAAATGCAGGAAGAAGGGAAATTGTTTGGCGTTTTGGGGGGAAGCACAAACCATTCATTATGCAGGTGCAAGGGTGGTAGGAGAGAAGTTGAGGCTGTTATTAAATACTGAGATCTCAGAGCCCACATTCAGATGTTGAGGTAGGTCTAGCCGGTGCTATGAGTATAAAATGAGGAGATGATGGGAACAGTTGTTACTTTTATTACTTGAGGACAACCAAGGATGGGATCAATGATGGAAATAGTCGTGATCACCTCTGTCGTCTTGCCTCCACAGAAGTGTGGTAAACTGGACCCCACCTTCACCAGCGCCACCTTACTCTTTCAGAAAGACCCTCCCGCCAACGTCCAGCTCTTCCAAGTGAGTACAGTGGGTGTTCAGCTGATATCAGGGGCCCGTGCAGGCCACATCAGGTGATGCTAACCATTGGCAAATGACCTACTAGACTTGTATGTAGGTGCTTAAAACTCCTTGCTGTTTTGCATAAATATCCAGCGAAGAAAATGGGAATCATATATTAATATAAATGAAGCTATTTTCCCCTTGCTCACTTAAATTTCTCTCTTGAAATTACTCTCATCTTCACCTGCTCCTTAAAGAAAAAAAATTTTTTTCCATTTTGTCTTTTCTGGTGCCTCTGTGGTACTAATGTGCAAAGCCAGGAGTTCTCTTGAGCATGTAAACAAAACAAAACAAAAGACCAACTTTCTATCAATAACAATGTTTTTTTGTGTGTGTGTGAGGAAGATCAGCCCTGAGCTAACATCCATGCCAATCCTCCTCTTTTTGCTGAGGAAGGCCAGCCCTGAGCTAACAGCTATTGCCAATTCTCCTCCTTTTTTTCCCTTTTTCTCCCCAAGACCCAGTAGATAGTTGTATGTCATAGTTACACGTCCTTCTAGTTGCTATATGTGGGACACCGCCTCAGCATGGCCAAACAAGGAGTGTGTCAGTGCGCGCCCAGGATCCAAACCCCAGGCCGCCAGTAGTGGAGCACGTGCACTTAACTGCTAAGCCATGGGGCCGGCCCCTCAATAGCAGTGTTTTAAGAGATGCTAGGTAAAGAGCCAGCTTTTCCTATAAACATTTTGGATTTTTTGGGCCATACAGTCTCTGTTGCAACTCCTCAACTCTGTCATTGTAACACAAAAGCATCCAGAGACAATACATAAATGAATGAATGTGGCTATGTACCAATAAAACTTTATTTATAAAAACAGACAGTGGGCCAAATTTGGCCCATCAGCCACAGTTTGTGGATCCCTGCATGAGAGTGTAGTAGTCCAAAACGTGAACTCTTTGCCCAGCTGCCAAGACTTGATTCCTAACTCTGCCATTCATAACTATAACAAGTGACTTCCTCTCTCTGCCACTTGGATGAGTTAATTATGCCCACCTGCAAATGTGGACAATGATGGCACCTGTTTCTAGGATGGTTTTGAGGATTAAACGCATTAGTAAAAGTAACTAGCTCAGATAGTTCCTGGTATATAGTAAACATTCAATGAATATTGGCCCTTATTATTATTACTTTGAAAAACACATAAAACAGGGGCTGGCCCAGTGGCGCAAGCGGTTAAGTGCGCATGCTCCCCTGCGGCGACCCAGGGTTCTCCTGTTGGGATCCCATGTGTGCACCGATGCACTGCTTGGTGAGCCATGCTGTGGCGGCATCCCATATAAAATGGAGGAAGATGGGCACGGATGTTAGCCCAGGGCCAGTCTTCCTCAGGAAAAAAACACACACACACACACATAAAACAGAATTTTATTATAAAAATGAATACACTTTAGAACATTTTGGAAAATACAGAAAAGTATAAAGAAGAAAATAAAAATCACCCAAAATCCCACCTCCAAGGAAAAAATCATCATTATATATATATTTTTTATTTTTTTCCATTTTTTCCTATGCTATATGGACATGTGTACATTATATTTATAATATATTTTTCTACAGAATTTGAATCATTATACACACTAGCAAACAACGTTTTATGTCTTCTTTTTACATTTAACATGAGCATTCTTCCCTTCTAATTAAAATTCTTCAGAAGCATATTTTCACAGTTGCATACTACTGCATTGTATGAGCACATAATTTACTTACCCAGCCACCAATGAATGGACATGGAAATTCCTCTTTTTTGTTGCTGTTCCTGGGTAGAGTGATACTATGACGACCTGCTCAGTCATGTCTTATCTGCCTTTCCGTTTCCTTTGCCGGGTGCCCTCCTGCCTCCTCCATTCACTCCTCAGGTTGCTTTGGCCTGAAGCTCTCCAGGGCTTCCCTGGGCCTGTAGGGGAACAGTGTCCTCTGCAGCTCAGCCTGACTGGTGACCGTGTTGTTCCAGGAGGTGCCCAATGGTCAGTCTGAGGAGGACATGGTGGGCCGGCCCCTGCCCCACCTGGCCGCAGCCCTGCAGGCCTCTGGGGAGGCCGTGTACTGTGACGACATCCCTCGCTATGAGAATGAGCTGTCCCTCCGGCTGGTCACCAGCACCCGGGCCCACGCCAAGATCAAGTGAGTGTAGTAAATACACCCGGGAGGAGGGCGCTGGGAGCACCTTGCCAGGCACTGGAGATGCCGAGATAACGAGGGTCCCCCAGGGTCTCCCGGTCTAGAGAGGAGCATGGGGACTCATCTGAAAACCAGTCTGGAGAGGAGCAGGAGAGGGTAGGGGCTCAGGGGTGCCTGGGAGGGGGAGGTGATGACACTGGTGAGATAGGCAGGGCCAGTTAGGAAAGTGCTGACCAGGGAGATTACACTTGGCCCTGGGCAAGCAAGGAGGGGCTGCTGAAGATCTTTAGCAGGACCAGGCTAGATCTGCGCCTTGGACACTGGGCTAAACTCCAGTGCAAGATGTCGGGAGAACTGGAGTCAGCGCTGGGGGGAGGAACACGGCCTTAGAGTCTGACAGACCTGGGATTGAATCCCCACCCCAGGGCTTAGCAACCGTGACCTTGGCCTGCGTGCTTCAGCTCTCAGTTTCCCCATATGTAACAGGGTGTTGTTGTGAGGATCAGTGTCCACAAAATACCTAGCAGAGAACAGCCGCGTGTACCTATTTGTCGAACTTTGAGAGCCCAAATGGCAAGAGTTGCCACCTCTATAATGACAATAATACCTAACACTCATATGGCATTTAATATTTGCTGCAGTCTGGTTTAAAGCATTTCACATATATTGGCTCATTTATTCCTCACGACAACCCTACAGGCAGGTCCCATTTTCATGTGTATGTTCCAGATGAGGAAACTGAGGCCCCACAGGCAGGGTCAGTTACTTGCCCCAGGCCACGCAGCTCACAAGCGGCAGAGCCAGAGCTGGAGGCCAGGCAGCACTAGCGCCCGGGCTGCGCTGCCCCTGGATGTTCAGGCCAGAGACTGAGCTTGATTCCCTGGTGGGCACAGACGCACACCCTGCGAGTAGAGCAGCGAGCAGAAACCCCCCTTGGGCCCTGCCACTTCATGGATTAGGGATCAGATCTCACCATTGGTCTTTCCTCTGCTGCTGCTCCTCGCCTGGAGATAGGCTCCAGGAATGGTGACCTGGACACAGATAAAAGCTAACAGAAAAATAAACTTTTCTGGGTCCCTGAAAAAGAAAATGTTTGTTTCAGGTGTCCAACCACAGGGTAAATTCATTTGCCTTTCTCCTTGTCTGGAGCCCATATTGACAGTACCATGACCTGCACCGTCTACACTCAAACAACTTTGCTCCATCCGAGTGATGTCTGAATGGATGCAGGAGGATGGGGGTGGTGGGGGAGGGACTTTGTAGTAACTGCACCGATCAGGGCTTTCCCGGCTGCACGCTCCTGGAAGGCAGTGTGTAGAGCAGAAGTGGCCCTGACTTGGGCATTCTTCATGACTTAACCTCAGTCTTAATCCCAGCTACGCTGCTCTCTGGCTGGTGACTTTGGACAAGCTACTTAACTTCCCTGAGCTTGAGTTTCCCCGAGTGTAAAATGGGGATAATGGCAATGACTTTCTGGGGCTCTGGTGAGGGTTACCTGTTTGGAAGTTGGCTGGTACTTTCAGAGGGGTTTCCATACGTTTCTCTAGGGGCCTCTGCCCTATTTCCCCATGGGGACATGGGCCAGAGTGAGCAGTACGTAGTTCAGACTGTTAGAAATGACAAACTCTCCGGGCAGTCTCCCTTTGAGGTTTGAATTGCCTATTTATGGCCGGGGTACCCCGCCAGGCTGGGATAGCTCCCTGAATGTGGGGAGAGAAATCTGGCTGTGTGATGATGTCCAGGGCCATTGGATCGGTGGGACAGCAGGGCCCCCATTTGCTGATTCTCGATGGGCATTAGCTGTGATGTGGGTTTATCTGGAGCTCTCCGAGTAAATGCTGCACACTATGATTTGGTTCTCTTGTACTTGGAGACCAAAATAGGGCCTTGTATAAGGTCCATGTGGGTGGGCCTGTCCTATTCATCTCCTATCCGCCGCAGCACTCAGCACAGTGGCCTCACGTGGTAAGCATTCAATCAACACTTGCAGAATAGGATAGGATAGGATAGAATAGTATAGAATAGAATACAATAGGACAGGGTAGAATAGGATAGGATAGAAAGTGGAGAGGGGAGGAATTAGAGTGGGGGAAAAACCATCAAAATGAGGACAGAGTTATCCAATCAGGTGACAGGTCTGTCTCTTCGGTTTTTTCACCTGGTGCCTCACACGGCTTATTCTTGCAGGTCCATTGATACTTCAGAAGCTCAGAAGGTGCCAGGGTTTGTTTGCTTTCTCTCTGCTGATGATATTCCTGGGAGTAACAAAACTGGACTTTTTAATGATGAAACAGTCCTTGCGAAGGATGAGGTATGTCCTGGATTTTTTTTTCCTACGAAGTTAGTGGAATGGGTATTTAAATTTCAATTTGTGCTCGTTCCTTCAAATCCATAATCTTGAAAAGATGATACATTTGCACATATTGTGGCTGTCATCCAATTGGCAAGTATTCAGGACAATCAGTAAAAGGATGGAATATGCCTGGTAGCACTTCTAATTTTAACTTAATGTTTACTTGTTTATTTAATGAATGGCTGCTATTTGTACATAGTAGGATGACTCCATGCCAAAGTGGTATTAAAACAAGGCTGGTGATTATATTTGAACTAACAATCTGGTTCTTAAGGGTACAGTATTATGCTCCTTTATTAAAAGAAAATAATAATATATTAAACAAACTAGCCAGAATAGAAATCATGATACCACCACTACATGTATTGATAATTCACTTACATGAAAGTTCATCTATTCATTTCACCTATATACAGGCAGTTCTGCCAAAAAAAAAAGTTTCCAAACATTCCAAGAAAGACAGCTGCTACAAAAATCCATATTCTTTTAGGACAGTTTTCAGACGGTCACTTTATAATTCCAATACAGATCAAATGTTGCAAATTGGTGGAGGGTAGGTGTGGCAGAAGGGCAAATTCACCTTGTTATTGATATAAAAGTGAAGAAGAGAGTGAAAAATTACAACCATGAGAAACAAGGACTGCAAAAGGAGAGCATTTGAAAGAAGAACAAATCACTCTACAGGCTTCAAGAGCCTCTAAGACCATTGCTAACATTACAGTCAGTGATAATCAGCCAGGTTCAACAACCACTGTGTTAACCAATTAAGTCAATACCTCAATTGGGTCCTGAAGAGATAAATATCAGAGACAGGCATGCTAAGGATTGGTTCCTGTTGTCATAAACTTCATATTCCAAACTGAAGAGTTGGCAATTTTTCTATGTTTATTGTTGGGGGGATGTTGGAAGAAAATTACCTCTGAAGGAGATCCATTAAGATTTATAGGGACTGAATTATTAAATGAAAAGAAAACAATAATCATTATTCTATAAATCTAACAAAAAAACTGGTTTATGGGTCATCAAGTCTAAGAAACAGCAGTTGGGAACTACTGCTTCTGGGCATCCAGATGAAGGATAAGACATGATTGCTGCCTTTGACAAGGTTTACGTATAAATCTGGTAAATGGAAAATAAAAAGAGAGGGGGGTGGTGGAAAGAAAATGAAACTGGGATCAGGGGCTAAGATTTAGTCATGGTCTAGTAATGAGCCAGTTGTGATCTTGCCTTCTGGGTCTCTGTCTCTTCCCATGAAGAACAAGGGTGTTGGAGTTCGTGTTGACAGATATACTTCTTGCTTCCATACCTCCCATTCTGCTGCTCTTGACAGACATCACTAATCAATCACCACATTCTATCGTGGGCAGCTTCTCAACAGGCCACCAGTACTAAGTCATCAGAATTGGCCCTAGAATTGAAGCAAGTTTGCCATCCTGATACGAGAGATCTCCAACTCCTATTTCACTTCTACTGATTCTAAACACTTATGAAGAAGCACATAACCCCAAATAGTAGGATAAGGAAATGAAAAGGTCCCAGGGCATTCCTAAAATGTGCCTTAACAGGAAATTGTGGGAGCAGGGATTTCCTTGGCCTTTTTGAACAAACCAAAATAATTTGCTTCATGAGGAGTCTAGTTATGTTCTTCACACTCTGGCTCTGTTTCTAGGTGACTTGTGTTGGGCACATCATTGGCGCTGTGGTCACCGACACCCCAGAACATGCACAGAGAGCTGCTCAAGCGGTGAAAATCACCTATGAAGAACTTCCAGCCATTATCACAATTGAGGTAACTAGGACGGGCTGCCCTGTAGAGAAGAGAGCTCCCTGGAGGCACCTTTATTAGGATCCTCTAGAGGAGATTCGAGCAGAGACGGGATTTGACTAGATAGGTTTTTTTTTTTAATTATTTTAGTGAGGTCATATTGGCTTAGAATATTGTGTAAATTTCAGGTGTACATCACTATATTTCAGTTTCTGTGTAGACTGCATCATGTTCACCACCAACAGTCCAGTTTTTATCCGTCACCCTACATATGTGCCCCCTTACAAACACTTTCATGCTCCCGTCACCCCCTTTTCCTCTGGTAACTGCTGATCTGTTCTCCTTAACTATGTGTTTGTTTGTTTATCTTCCACATATGAGTGAAATCATATGGTATTTGTCTTTCTCTGTCTGACTTATTTCACTTGGCATAATACCTTCGAGGTCCATCCATGTTGTCACAAATGACACGATTTTGTCTTTTTTTGTGGCTGAATAGTATTCCATTGTGTATGTATGCCATGTCTTCTTTTAGTTAGGTTTTAAAATCTCTTCCAGCCCCAGGATTGTGTGGTCCTATGAAACCCTCCCCATCGTGATCCTAGACTCAGTCTACTAATGGCCAAAGGGAGCTTCTCCTTCTCAATTTCAGCTCCAGCTGGTTCCTTAAGGGATTCTTTGCTTTTCCTCAAGATCCAAGGTTGTCCGTCTATATCTGAGGAGATGGAGGAACATGACTTCCTGGGCTACACATGAGCTTACTTTAAGTCTGTATAAGAAGCTAATAGAGATGCCTATGTGAGAAGGGAAAGGCAACAATTCCGAGAGCTTCTCGTCCCCCAGTTGGAAACCACCTTCCTCCCCCTGAAAGCCAAGTCACTGAAGCTTCTTTCTGACCCTCAGGATGCTATAAAACACAACTCCTTTTATGGATCTGAGCTGAAGATTGAGAAAGGAGACCTCAAGAAGGGCTTTTCGGAAGCAGATAACATTGTTTCAGGTACAGCTGCACCATGCAGCAGTGGGGTTGGGCGGCCCTGGTTTTTGAATGAGATTCAAGAGCTATAACTTGAGTCCTGGGATAGGGAGGTGATTTCCTATCACTTCCTAGCAGAAGAGCTCCTCTGATGTTTGTAACAAAACAGTAGACAGTTGGCTGGGAAAGAATTTCGGTCACCTTAATCTCCACTCTCCTGACTCTAGGCTGGATATGTCTAAGTGATTCTAGAGAGATGACAGTGTGTCGGATTTGGAAGACTGTCTAGGGAAGATAACTGCCACAGTTGCCTGGCTGCCCTTGGGTCTGCTGGGCCTCTAACCACACAGACCCCTGGCCCTCCCCGTGGCCCTGAAGGCTAGTGCTCCCCACTCCCTTCCCCTTCTCCCCGACCCCCCACACTGTGAAAATACGTCCATTGTTCTCACCCAGGGCAAGGCTGCTGCTCAGACTCCTTTTGGAATTGTTTTCTACTTTGGCTATTGTGCATCACTAAGTCACTAGTAAGTCAATTCTCCAACAGGCCTGATAGATTCGGTTCTAGAAGACATTTTCAGCTCTTCAATCACATCTGTTGATTCTTTCTTTACCTTTTCCAATATTTTACAACTATAGTTTTAAAATCTTCAATTTCCACTGGCTCCAATGAGAAGAGAGCTTCATGCCTGATGCATTGCAATGTCATTCTAGTTTCTTTGTTGGGGTGGGAGTTCAGCTCCCAGATGGGTAAGACTTTGAGACCCTTTTCCACCCCAGCTGGGGAACCTAGAGGTACCTGTGAGCAGTTGGTTCCTGCACGAGGCACTTGACATGTACACTCTCTCCTTAAGCAAGCTCGCCCCCTCTCCAACCTGGGGCTCACTGTGGGAGTCTTATTGCTTCCCCAGGAGAGTTGCACATTGGTGGCCAAGAGCACTTCTACCTGGAGACGCACTGCACCATCGCTGTCCCAAAAGGCGAGACAGGGGAGATGGAGCTCTTTGCGTCTACACAGAACCCCATGAAGACCCAAGTAGGTGTCCTGTGGTTCAGCTCAGGGGCCTGGGGTGGGCTTCAGAGTTCCCAGCAGACCAAGAGTGGCATTGTGGGAATGTGAAGAGGGAGACCTGGGCTGGTCCAGAAGGAGGTTTGGGGGTAGTGGTCCTGCAGCCAGACTCTGTCACCAACAGGCTGGTGTCACTGAGCTTATTACATAAACTCTCTCATCTATACACTGGGGCTTGGAGGGGTTGTTATAATGATTAGATGAGTTATAACATTTGTATAGAGCCTAGTAAGTGTTAGCTGTTATCATTCCAGTGCTACATGGCGTTGGTCAAATCATATCTGGCCTCAGTCTCCTCATCTGTAAAATGAAGGGGTTGGGCTAAGCAACAGCCACAGCAACAATTAAATTATCTGCAGCAGCTCAAATAAATTTCTGCAGCGGAAAATCCCGCATCTCTCTATTGCCTGTGATGTGACAGTGGTAGCCAGCATTTTTGGTAACTGTCCTGCTCTCATGACCCACCAGCTCCTGGTCAGATGGAATGAGTTTTGGCTCTGAAAGTATGCTGTGACCAGCTGCTCGCCCCTCTGGTTAAAACAAGTGTCTGAATTCAGTCTGCAGCGACTGCTGGGTGCCAGACCCCAGCACCACTACCCAAGGGCTGCACTGGGAGGGGAGGGGGATCATCAAATCAAGGGATTTCAGAACTCACAGCAGTAATTAGGCCTGTGCATATTAGGCAGGCTCTGGGTCAGGCCTGAAGTCAGTCCAGATGGTGCATTCAGTGCAAGTGATTTTTATTTTGCCCCCAGTCCTTTGTTGCAAACATGTTGGGGGTTCCAGCAAATCGAATTTTGGTCCGAGTGAAGCGACTGGGAGGAGGCTTTGGAGGGAAGGAGACCCGGAGCACTGTGGTGTCCACAGCAGTGGCCCTGGCTGCATACAAGTGAGTTCTCCCAGTGGACTCTGGGAAGAAGAATAAGGTCGCCTCTTCCAGGAAGGCTTTCTGGTTTCCCCCTTTGGGAATTAGATTCCCCTTGCTTTGCATTTCCACGGCTGTCTGTGTTTGGAACTCTTGGGCATAGGGATGAGGGAAACCTCGCCTGGTTCTTTATGTCCCAATGCACATGTCCGTGTCTTATCTTCCCGACCTGGCTGTGAGGGCCCCAAGCACAAGGACACACCTCACCTCCTCATGCTCCTCACCTGGTACAGCGCAGGGCCTCGACAGTGAGGCAGCCCAGTGCGGGTCTGCGCCCTGTGCCAGGTGGGAAGAGAAGGTTTCCTTGCTGTTCTCCTCCCTGAGAATCACGGGGCTGGGCTGTCCTAGAGACTCCCAGGTTTCTCACCCTCCGCTGCCTCCCTCAGGACCGGCTGCCCTGTGCGCTGCATGCTGGATCGTGACGAGGACATGCTGATAACCGGCGGCAGACATCCTTTCTTGGCCAGATACAAGGTTCTCAATGTTGGGGGCTGTGCCCAGGCGGGCAGTGCCATCTCGTTGGGAAACCTGGGGATGAAGATCCAGGGATTCTGGGATGTGCTCTGACCTTTTCCATGACTATCTGTAGAAGTTCAAAGAAGAACTAGCAATGAGAGAAATTCAAATCAGCCAACAGCACAGAGGGGTGATGCTGGGGAAAGCTAGTGGGCCATCTCCCAAGCAATGCCACGGGGTGGTGTTCTCGACTTTTGTGAATTTGAGGGGTCTTTGTCCGCTCAGGCTCAGAAACATGATTTGTCAACAGACCCGGGGCAAATCCATCCTGCAGCATGGCCTAATGTTAATGTGTTCACAACCTGATGTAAAACTCATAATGACCACTTAGTAATTTACAACGAGAAGTGATACTTCCCATGGGCCTAGACCGGCACACATTTTTAGGGTGGGCATCTTACCTGCCAGACCATGTGCGGCTGGGCACTGCCCCGTTTCCCTGTGGGACAGTCCTTTTTCTGGGCTTTTATGGATGACCAGTTCCTGTTCTGACCATGCACCCTTCTCTCTACACGCTAGTATAACCTTACACGTCCCATCTAGCTCTGTAAACCTGGGAGCCCTCTCTCCCCATGAGCTGGCTTTGAGCATTTCCCCTTTGACCTTCTCTGACTTTGTTTTGTAATTTAACTCCCCAAAAGTGATTGTATTTCTCCACTTCCCCAATTTTAGTGGGCTTGAAGAAAGTAACTTGGTCTTTTGGGATCTGTTTCCTCAATTACGAAATGGCCTGTAGGGTTTGGTTTGATGGTTACATAAAGTCAGGGAAGTAAAAGCACATTCATGCTCATCCAAAGTGTAACTTTTATTGTTTGCTGGCCAAAAGCTGTGAGGGAACTCTCCGGCATCTTTCCTATTTTCTCTTCCCAGCACCACCCCACCCCCACCCTTTCAATGCCAACATCCTCTTTTCTCCCTCCTCACTCCCTCTGGTAGAGCCAGAAGCTGGGAGTAGGTAGAGAGAAGGAGGAGTCTGGGGAGAAGGTGTCCAGAGGTGAGGAGCCGGGGGTACGTCACTGGGGAGTTGTTGGTTCCTCTCCTCTTCACCCGTTAAGTTCACCTTGTTTTCACGGTGTGATGTCTTGTTCTTTCCATTTCCTCCAGGTAGCGTAGATGGGAGGAAATGATTAGAGATAGACAGAGCAAGGGGATTGTGGAGAAATCACTCTCCTTTTTGGCAGGTTGGCTTCATGAAGACTGGGAATATTGTGGCTCTGGAGGTGGATCACTACAGCAATGCTGGGAACACCATGGATCTCTCTCAAAGTGTAAGTAGGACTCTCCCCTGCATCCCGAGGGTGACCGGGAGGTCAAGGGCACGCCCCACAACCTGTTCACATGTGCAAGCACAGTGTTCTTCGCTTCTTGCCTGCTACGGTTGCAGTACTCTCCTATATGGTCCCTGCCTTTGGGTTCTCCATCCTTGGTTAATCTCTACAGCACAGAGATGATCATGTTACTTCTCTGATGAGAAACTCATCCTTCTTATTCAAGATATTTTGCCAAGCAAGCAAAGTTAGTTACAAAACTTTATGTACAGTATAGTGATATTGTATGTGTGTGTAAGTAATGTTAATTTTATGTATGTATATATATATATACACATATATATATAATGATATGCAGGGAAAATGTGTGAAAGAACATACATCAAAGAGTGATTGGATGAGATTAAGGTGGTCACACACTGTCATTTTCTACATTACACATTTCTACATTAAACATTACTTAGAATTTGAGTTGAGGAGTTGAATTACTTTTTAACAATTTCACTGAGGTGTAGTTTACATACCGTAAAGTTCACCCATCTGAAATATATAATTTAATGGTTTTTGTAAATTCAGAGTCATGCAACTGTCATCACAATCCAATTTTTGAATGTTTCGATCACCCAAAATGATCTCTTGTACCCATTTGCAGTCACACCTGTTCCCGCCCCCCAGGCCCAGACAACTGCAAATCTACTTTCTGTCTTTATAGATTTTCCTTTTGTGTGGTCTGTTTGTATAAACAGAATCATATGCTATGTAGTCTTTTGTGTCTGGCTTTTTTCTCTCAGAATCCTGTTTTTGAGGTTCATGCATGTTAGAGCATGTATAGTCCTTCATTCCTTTTTATTGATGAAGAATATCCCATTCTGTGGGTAGATCGTATTTTCTTTCCCATTTACCACTTGATGGACATTTGAGTTGTTTCCAGTTTTTAGCTTTTATGGATAATCTGCTTTGAACAGTCTCGTACGAGTCTTGTGTAGACATATATTTTTGTCAGTTTTGAAAATTGACAAAATTACCGTGGTGGTACTACTTCTTAAAGTTTTTTAAATCTTAACTTTACAACCAGACTAGTTATATAGGCATAGATTCTCGTAAAATCAAACATTTCAGGACAAGTAGAAGTTCCCATTGTCCCCACTAGGGGTGCTGCTCCTCTCTGCCAGGGGCTTTCTGATTGGCTCAATTAGGAAACTTCACACTGCAGATCTCAGGTAAAAACTGTTCAAAATAGGAAACATTTCTAGTATTCTCACCATTTATAACACTTGCTTCTTGGTGCTGTAGGAAAAGTCAGGTTGAAAAAGATACAGTATTTGTCCCCAAAGACCTTACAAGCTTTTTAATTCAATCCAGCAAGTATTTTTCAAGAGCCTAGGGTGGAAACATAAGGAAGAACATGGCATTGTTTCTTCCCTCAAGAAGTTCACAGTATGGTGGGGGAGACAGATAATAAAAGACAAAATGAAATAGAAGTACAAGTTGACAAAGTGCTAAGCGAAGCAGAAATGGAATTGAGACACAAAAACCACCTAGGATGACTAAGATCAAAATAATCAGAGACACAAAAAGAAACCTATGGGAAATAAACTAAAACCAGGATGAAACACACAAATATAAGCTACCATTTATCTCATCAGAGAGGTGAGTTATTACACCTTAGAGAAAGAACAGCATGCTATAAAAATGGAACAGTCGGAGAATAAAAATGAACTCTTGTGAATTAAAACTGTGAAAGCAGAAGAAATGAAAGAAACTTGAGGAGCTATCCCCAAAAAAGAAAACATTGTGGAAAAATAGGAGAGAAAATACAAGAAAATTTGAGGTCCCATCCAGGAGATCCAAAGAATAGAAGTTTCAGAAAGAAAGAATGGAAAAAAGAGAAAGAAGAAAACTATCAAAAAGTGATTCAAGAAATTCCCCAGAACGATAGGCACACATTTTGAGATTAAAAGAGCCCTTCCAGTCACCTGCACAATGAAGGAAAATGAACCTATGCTGATTTACATCATTGTGAAATTTTAGAAACCTGAGGACAAAGAAGATTTTACAATTTTCAGGGAGGAAAAAAACAGAACTCATTCCAAGAATTAGAAAGGCATTGATTGGAGTTCTCAATACCGGGGAACTAGAATGCACTAGTAAAATGCCTTCAAAATGCTGTGGGAAACTGGGAAACTTATTTCCAACCTAGAATTCTATATGCAGTCAAATCATCAATTAAGGGTTAAAGACATTTCAGATGTGCAAGTTCTCAAAAACATTCCTGTCTATATATTCTTTTTTGAGAAGATATTGAAGGATGTACTCCAGCAAAATGAGGGTGTAGAACTAAGAAAGAGGAAGACATGGGATCCAGGAATAGGAGATTCAATATGGAGAGAGGCAAAGGAAATCCCTGGGATGAGTGTGAGGGGAAAATCCCCAGGGAACACCTGAGTGGCAGGCCTAGTGGGAGCCAGTTTAAATTGCAGCAGGCCAGAAGGCTTCAGGAACGATTTCTTCAAAAAAATGAAACTGATAGAAAATCTAATGAGTTTGAACATATTGACAGATTTTTAGAACTGGGGAAAACTTTAAGTTGACTTAGTAATAAGTGCACAGAAAACTAAGCAAATGAAAAAATAAAGACAATATTAACTCCAGGGGGGAAAATGATATTGAGAGAGAGAAGTAACGATAGTATCACTACATGGTTCAGCTGTAAGTAATGTTTACAGAACTGTAATATTAAACTGACTATTGATCAGATCAAAATATAACTATGTGGGAGACAGGAAGCTGGTGTGTTTGCAGGGAAAGGGAGTTAGGTAGGAGCTAAATTCTCCTTTTCCATAATGGGAAAACAATATAAAAGTCTAAAACTGAAAAAGACAAGTGGCAATATAAACACATTATTTAGAGATGTGGAAATTACTAATGTAAACAGCTGATAAAGAATAAGTGGTTGCCTCTGGGGAGCAGAAGGAAGGAAAGTAGAGGGGACGGCTGTTTTGCATAACATGACTTGTGGAAATATTTGACTCTAAGCTATTTGCAGTACAACTTTAATGGGAATAAAAGCTAATTTAAAATTAATTAATAAAATCATCTATTTTTTTAAAGAGGCTAGTGATCAGTTCCAACTAGAGGATCTGGGAGGGCTTCCCCGTGGAGTTGGTGAATGAGGATTTTAGTAGGTGGGTAAGGTGAGGAGGGGCATTACAGGTGAGGGTAACATGCAGTCAGAAAAGAGGATAAAAAAATATATCAGGGAAAGTTCATCAAGCGTCTTGAATTCCATGCTTAAAGATATGTGGACTTTACTCTGGAGGTAATAAGTGCCATTTATAAGCAAGTTCTTGACCTGATATGACCTTATATTTCAGTATGAGACATAGATTGGAGGGAGGAGGCACTGAAGGCCAAGAGAGCAGTAAGGAGGCTGTTGCAATATCCCAGGGAAGAAATAATTAGGGCCTGAGCAAGAGCAGTTCACAGCAGAGCCGGGAAAGGCAGGGATAGGTACAGCCATTGAAATCCCTTTTTTGTTGTTTTCTTTTAAATATTTTTTCTTCTTTTTGTGAGGAATATTGGCCCTGAGCTAACATCTGATGCCAATCTTTTTTTTTTTTTTTTTTTTTTTTGTACTTTTTTTGTTGAGGTCAGAATAGTTTATAAATTGTGAAATTTCAGTTGTACATTCTCATTTGTCAGTCACCATATAAATGTGCCCCTTTACCCCTTATGCCTAGCCCCTAACCCCCTTCCCCTCTGGTAACCACTAATCTGTTCTCTTTGTCCACATGTTAGTTTATCTTGCATATATGAGTGAAATCATATGGTGTTTGTCCTTCTCATTCTGGCTTATTTTGCTTAACAGTTCCCTCAAGGTCCATTCATATTGTTGCAAATGGCACAATTTGTCATTTTTACAGCTGAGTAGTATTCCGTTGTGTATATATATACCACATCTTCTTTATCTAATCATCAGACGATGGACACTTGGGTTGCTTCCACTTCTTCACTATTGTGAATAATGCTGCATTGAACATAGGGCTGCATAAGTCTCTTTGAATTGTTGATTTCAAGTTCTTTGGATACATACCCAGTAGTGGGATGGCTGGGTCATAGGGCATCTCTATTTTTAATTTTTTTGAGAAATCTCCATACTGTTTTCCATAGAGGCTGCACCAGTTTGCATTCCCACCAGCAGTGTATGAGAGTTCCCTTTTCTCCACATCCTCTCCAACATTTGTTATTTTCTGTCTTGGTGATTATAGCCATTCTAATGGGTATGAGGTGATATCTTAGTGTAGTTTTGATTTGCATTTCCCTGATGATTAGTGATATTGAGCATCTTTTCATGTGCCTATTGGCCATCTGTGTATCTTCTTTGGAAAAATGTCTGTTCATATCCTCTTCCCATTTTTTGATCAGGTTGTTTGATTTTTTGTTGTTGAGTTGTGTGAGTTCTTTATATATTTTGGAGATTAACCCCTTGTTGGATATATGATTTGCAAAAATTTTCTCCCAGTTGGTTGCTTGTCGTTTCATTTTGATCCTGGTTTCCCTTGCCTTGCAGAAGCTCTTTAGTCTGATGAAGTTCCGCTTGTTTATTGTTTCTTTTGTTTCCTTTGCCCGGGTAGACATGGTATTTGGAAAAAACCTTCTAAGATCGATGTCGAAGAGTGTACTACCTATATTTGCTCCTAGGAGTTTTATGGTTTCACATCTTACCTTCAAATCTTTAACCATTTTGAGTTAATTTTTGTGTATGGTGAAAGATAATGGTCTACTTTCATTCTTTTGCATATGGCCATCCAGTTTTCCCAACATCATTTACTGAAGAGACTTTCCGTTCTCCATTGTACGTTCTTAGCTCCTTTGTCAAAGATTAGCTGTCCGTAGATGTGTGGTTTTATTTCTGGGCTTTCAGTTCAGTTCCACTGATCTGTGTGTATGTTTTTCTACCAGTACTCCATGATGATTGCATTACTATAGCTTTGTAGTATATTTTGAAGTCAGAGATTGCAATGCATCCAGGTTTGTTCCTTTTTTCTTGGGATTGCTTTAGCTATTCAGGGTCTTTTGTTGCCACATATGAATTTTAGGATTCTTTGTTCTATTTCCATGAAGAATGTCATTGGGATTCTGATTGGGATCGCATTGAATCTATAGATCGCTTTAGGTAGTATGGACATTTTAGCTATGTCAGTTCTTCCAATCCATGTGCATGGAATATCTTTCCATTTCTTTGTCATAGATTTCTTTCAATAATGTCTTATAGTTTTCATTGTATAGGTTTTTCACTTCCTTGGTTAAATTTATTCCTAGATATTTTATTCTTTTTGTTGCGATTGTAAATGGGGTTGTATTCTTGAGTTCTCTTTCTGTTAGTTCAATATTAGAGTATAGAAATGCAACTGATTTTTATAAGTTGATTTTGTACCCTGCAACTTTGCTGTAGTTGTTGATTATTTCTAATAGATTTCCAATGGATTCTTTAGGGTTTTCTATATATAAAATCATGTCATCTGCAAAGAGTGAGAGTTTCACTTCTTCATTGCTTATTTGGATTCCTTTTATTTCATTTTCTTGCCTAACTGCTCTGGCCAAAACCGCCAATACTATGTTGAATAAAAGTGGTGAGACTGGGCACCATTGTCTTGTTCTTGTTCTCAGAGTGATGGCTTTCAGTTTTTCCCTGCTGAATATGATGTTGGCTGTTTGTCATATAAACAGATGATGTTTGTCATATAGGGCCTTTATTATTTTGAGGTACTTTCCTTCTATACTCATTTTTTTGTGAGTTTTTATCATGAATGGATGTTGTATCTTGTCAAATACTTTCTCAGCATCTATTGAGATGATCATGTGGTTTTTATTCCTCATTTTGTTAATGTAGTGTATCACATTGATTGATTTGCAGATGTTGAACAATCCTGCGTCCTTGGTATAAATCTCACTTGATCATGGTGTATGATCCTGTTAATGTATTGCTGTATTCAGTTTGCCAATATTTTGTTGAGGATTTTTGCATCTATATTCATTAGTGATATTGGCCTGTAATTTACCTTCTTTGTGTTGTCCTTGTCTGGCTTTGGGTTCAGGGTAATGTTGGCCTCATAAAATGTGTTAGGAAGTGTTCTGTTCCATCTTCTTCAACTTTTTGGAATAGTTTGATAAGGATAGGTATTAAATCTTCTTTGAATGTTTGGTAGAATTCTCCAGAGAAGCCATCTGGTCCTGGACTTTTATTTTCTGAAAGGTTTTTGATTACTGTTTCAATCTTTTTACTTGTGACTGGTATTCAGATTCTCTATTTCTTCTTGATTCAGTTTTGGGAGGTTGTATGAGTCTAAGAATTTATCCATCTCCTCCAGATTGTCCAATTTGTTGGTGTATAGTTTTTCATAGTATTCTCGTATAATCCTTTGTATTTCTGTGGTATCTGTTGTAATTCCTCCTCTTTCATTTCTAATTTTCTTTATTTGAGCCTTCTGTCTTTTTTTCTTAGTGAGTCTGGCTAAGGGTTTGTCATTTTGTTTGTCTTCTCAAAGAGCCATCTCTTAGTTTCATTGATGCTTTCTACTGTATTTTTGGTTTCAATTTCATTTATTTATCCTCTAATTTTTATTATTTCCCTCCTTCTCTTGACTTTGGGCTTTGTTTGTTCTTCTTTCTCTTGTTCTTAAACTCATTCTGTAGTTTAAGATTGCTTATTTGAGTTTTTCTTGTTTGTTAAGGTGGGCCTGTATTGCTATGAATTTCCCTCATAGGACTGCTTTTGCTGCATCCCATATGAGTTGCTATGGTGTATTTTCATTTTAATTTGTCTCCAGATATTTTTTTATTTCTCCTTTAATTTCTTCAGTAGCATGTTGTTTAGTCTCCATGTATTTGTCACTTTCCCAGCTTTTTTCTTGCAGTTGATTTCTAGTTTCATAGCATTATGGTTGGAAAAGATGCTTTATATGAGCCCATCTCCCTCTTTTTGCTTGAGGAAGATTGTTCCTGAGCTGATATGTGTGCCAAACTTCCTCTATTTTGTATGTGGGACACCCCCATAGCATGGCTTGATGAGCAGTGTGTAGGCCTGCACACAGCATCCGAACCTGAGAACCCTGGGCCACCAAAGTGGAGCATGCAAACTTAACTACTATACCACTGGGCCAGCCCCCGCTTTAAATCCCTTTTTTAAGGAGCCAATGAAATCAACGCACTATTCTCTCCCATTTGTCTCCTTGGCTTCAGATAATGGAACGAGCTCTATTCCACATGGACAACTGCTACACAATCCCCAACATCCGGGGCACCGGCCGACTGTGCAAGACCAACCTGCCCTCCAACACAGCCTTCCGAGGCTTTGGGGGCCCCCAGGGGATGCTCATTGCCGAGCAGTGGATGAGTGAAGTTGCAGTGACCTGTGGGCTGCCTGCAGAGGAAGTAAGCTGAGAATTTGGTGGCACAAGGCAGGCTTAGCCTACTTTGAGGGGACAGTGGCTTTGTATCTTGGGCTTCTCCTCTGGGGGCAGAGAACGGGCAAGTGCTGTTGAGGGGGCTGGAAGGTTGACGTGAGGTTGTGCCCCCCCCCCTTGTCTCTTGACAAGGCCTCAGTCTCTCTTTCCTTTGGAAGGTACGGAGGAAGAACATGTACAAAGAAGGGGACTTGACACATTTCAACCAGAAGCTTGAGGGGTTCACCTTGACCAGGTGCTGGGATGAATGCCTAGCAAGCTCTCAGTATCACGCCCGGAAGAGGGAGATTGACAAGTTCAACAAGTAAGCACCAAGAGGGGAGGAGTCTGACATTCTGGTGCTGTCTGGGGTTTCATATTCTATAGCCTTTTTGCTGAACTCAAAATACAAAGCTAGTAGTTTAACGGGTAATTCATTAAGCTGCTGAGTTTGCCAACTCATTCATAGCCATCTCTTTAAGATCCTGAAATGATCTTCAAGCCCGGGGGCAGGTGGGCTTCCAACACTCAATGTCATAGCCCATCAGTGTTGTTCATCTTTACACATTTGTCTGCCTTCTGGGCACACCGTGTTCTAGAGAACACCAGCCCAGGACTAAGAACACCACAGTTATGCACCTGCCTCTGATATTAATCTATAAATGTGACCTTGGCAGTCACTCCATCTCCGTGGGCCTCAGTTTTATCATCTATAAAGTGGGGATAATTACATTGGCTCCGTCTTCCTCACTGGGTTACACGAAAAGCCAAATACAAAGTGCAGCGAAAGTGTTATCATTCTCATCAGTGAGCCACAGTTCCTCCCTGGGATGATCACAGTCCAAGGTCACCAGGGCACTCTGACCCAGTGGAAGAAGAGTGATGATACTTTAAAGCCGATTCTTTCAAGTATGGGCCCTGCTCCAGCTGCAATGAAGGACCCAGAACCCAAATTCCCACCTTTCTCATTTTGCCTCTGTAATTTGGGCACAACTCAGTTATGACACTGGTCATGTGGGGAGCACAAAGGATGCTTTGTTCTAATTTTACAAAGATATTGTACTGAAAATATGTCCAATCGAACATAAATATGGTCGAGAACATCCTATGAGAATGTTTCTTTTTCTCCAGGGAGAATTGTTGGAAAAAGAGAGGATTGTCCATAGTTCCTACCAAGTTTGGAATAAGCTTCACACTTAATTTTCTGAATCAGGTAATTGCTTTGTATGATTTCGTCCCATTCCACTGGACTAGGGCTGTTTTCTCCTCTGTTTGCAGTATTGCAAAGTAAAACCTATGGTTACTGGTAACAGAGCTGACTAGAGGAGCTCTTTGTTGTTAAAATAAAAGTTGAACTTGCATACCCCCATTTGCCCCATACGTCATGAGACAGTGAGAGGAGCATGAGACTCGAAGATCTGGGGTCAACTTCTAGTTCTTACTCCTCCTGACTGTAGGACTAAGGGCAGTTACTCTGCCTTTCTGATCCTGGTTCTTCATCTACAGAGTGAGGACAAAGATATTTGACCTACCTCCCTAGGAGGATGGGAGAAAGAGAGAGAGATGAAAAAATTTTGCAAACACCCGAAGGGCTATATAATTAAATCAGTAGATTTACACTGCTCTAATTTTTGTCTAGGATTTATATCCAAAATGTCCCTGCTGTTTTTTTTTTTTTCTCCTGGGCTCCAGCACCTTTGCTGGACTAGGTCCCTAGCCTTAAGCTGAGTTCGGATTTACCGAATTTTGTGTCTGGCATCCTTCTCTTCCCTTAGGCAGGAGCCCTGATTCATGTGTACACAGATGGCTCTGTGCTGCTGACCCATGGGGGCACTGAGATGGGCCAAGGCCTTCACACCAAGATGGTCCAGGTGAGCAGCCGGGAGGCTGTGGGAGTCCTCTCTGGCACTGTGGTGTCTGTGTGAGGGCAGATGCTGTGTGAGACTGAGCAGTGGGACATACCAGAAGCAAAAGCAGGCCTAGACTGGCCCTGGCCCTGCTGCTCGTTTACATGTAACTGTGGGCAAGTCTAGTCCCTCTCTTGGCCTCAGTTTCCTCATCTGTGAAAAGGGGTTGGCCAGATGATCTCTGAGATCACTTCTGTTACCAATATTGTAGGGCTCTGTGACTGTGTGTGTCAGGTGGGTGTGTTGTGTGCATAAAGGTACCCAGTTCTGCACACACAAGACTCTTTACAGTGGAGCTGGGAGGGTGTGGCTGGATTAGAGTCGGCACACCTGCTTGGCTCATGGGACTGGCCAACTGGATTTTTTAGAACAGCCAAGGTTAGCTTAAAAAGGCACTGTTAGTCAACATTAGGTTCTTGGAATTTTTTAATCCAGCCAATCCACTCTATAAATTGCTGCTTCAAATTCAGACAGATGTGAGAACATCCTAGACTCAGTAGAATTATAGTTGACAAAATTATTTTCTTGCCTGTAGCAGAGAACCTGAATCCTGCCTTGGGAGAAGGTGGCCAAGCCGCGTGCTAACCCATTCCCTAGAGAGTGATGTCGTCTCTCTTGGCAGGTGGCCAGCAGAGCTCTGAAAATCCCCACCTCTAAGATTTACATCAGTGAGACGAGCACTAATACCGTGCCCAACACCTCTCCCACAGCTGCCTCCGTCAGCGCTGACATCAACGGACAGGCCGTCTACGTAAGGAGCCTCGGGAGCCAGCAGAGCTGAGGGCCAGCCCGAGGCTTTGGGCCTGGAGAGTCCCCCGGGTGGGAGCTGGAATGGCCCTTGCAGGCTCTTTGGCTGTGGCCATACTTGTGGCTCTCTTATCCAGGAGGAAAACGCCAAGCTAAAAGAGAGGCCCAAGAACTGTAATTGCTTCCATGCAAGTCAGGAAGGATGAGGGTAGCATGGGGAGGAGAGTTGGAGGAAACACAAGGGGTTCTGGGAAGACATACTCCCTGCTGTTAGAACTGGCCACAAGACAATGGACTGAAATTGGAACTCGACTGTGGGGTCGGACAGTTAAGACCCACCTGCTTCTCCTCCCACGTGGGCGATGTAATCAAATGAAGGAGTTTGATGGGAGAAGTAGCTCCTTAGGGACCTCTCAGACATTTCACCCTCTGTCAGCCTGAGAACTGGGTCAGGAAGTGCTCTCCAAGCAAAGGTCAGTGCTTGCCCGTTTGGCAGGGTCCTCTAGCTTCCACTCCGGCCCCAGTCATCCCTGAGAGGGTGGCAAGGCTGTTTAAGTGGGACCTTGGGCGCAGCATTAGTAGGAAGTGGCCTTTGCCTGCGTGGGGAATGCAGAGGATTGATGTGTCTGGTGTGTGGTGGATGTGTTCTCTAGAAAGCTTGTCAGACCATCCTGCAAAGGCTGGAACCCTTCAAGAGAAAGAATCCTAGCGGCTCCTGGGAAGACTGGGTAAGTCTGAGTTCATCCAAGTTGCATTTGCAAATGAGAGGGGAATTAAGAGCAGAGCCTCTGTCCCGACCCCGGCAGGAATAAGAGGTCATGATCTAGTCACTCAGGCAAAGAGAAGCTGAGGTGGTCTGTGTAATTTCACAGGACGAGGAAATGCTCAACCTCACTGGGCCCCTTTCTCTGCAGTATTCATAGTTGAGGGAAGACACTTGAGGAATATTTTTGATCCAGGATCTTGACAACCCTGTAGGAATAGGGCTTTGGCTGCTCTGAGCCGGAGAAGATGGGGGTGACTGCTGAACATGCCTCCTTGTAAAGTCTTGGCTCACTCGACCTGGTCCTACACGCCACTCGGCCACAGTCTTGATGAGCCTGGTTTTCTTCAAACTTCCTTCACTCAGAGGCCTGCCCCAGCAGCATCTCCCCCTCCCCGGCTCCAGAGTCTGGGTCCACTGAGATTCCATCTGTGAGGGGGCAGGGGAAAGACATGGCCCAAGAGTTGTGTCATGCCTGTGACTTTAGGAGTGACAGAACAAGCATCATACGCAGCAAGAACAAGCCCAGTTCTCTGATTTCTGGTTTGGAGGCCTGCCTGTCAGAAACTTCAGAGGGATACTGCAAGGAAGCATCTCTCAGGTGGGAGGCTTCTGCTCCTCCAACAAGCAGAAATATCCATGGCAGCCCTGCTTCACCATTCCCTGGTGTTGGAATAGGAGAACTGGGCACAACAGTAACACATAAAATGTGCCTGCATACAACCCAGCTCAGGTAGTACAAGTCTTCCTTAATATAGTCAAGGAAGATAAGATATTTCTCTCAGATCCCCCCATCTCACTAGGACTCACTTGACCTCTACTTCCCTTCCCACACTCATGGACACCACCCACATAAATACCACGTGACCGTTGATTGGTTTTGGTAGTTTGGATTTTAGCATGGATTTGTCAGGCAACGTTAATGTTTTCAACAACATTACAATCTGTTGACCTGAGCTTTACAAATCAAGCCTTTACAATCTGTTGACCTGAGCTTTGTCCTCAATGACTGGCCATGTAGTCCAGTGTTCCTTGTAAGCAGATAACCCCAATATAGGCCATTATCAAAAAGGTGTGATCAGGAGATGACAGGCATCAAATCTCTTCAGTGTCTGTACCCCACTGAAGAACAAGCCTTTATTACCACCACCACTATATATGTACATATTTGGTACCATATATGTATGGTAAGGATCCTAGAGAAATTCTTTATCTAAGCCTTAGTTTTCTCATCTGTAAAGTGAAGATAATAATGGTACTGATCTTATAGGGTTGTGTTGAGTATTAAACAAGATAATGCATACAAAGTACTCAGTAGCATCTGGTACATGGTAAAGAGGTTCATAGTTGACAATGATCATGACGCAAATTATATCAACTACAAATTAAATCTTAGTGTTGTGCTAGCGCTGGGGATACCAAAAAAACTTATTAATGTAGTTAAAGAGACAGAATGGATGGATAGATAGACAGATAGCTTTATTAATAGGAAGGTATAAACAAAAACACAAGGTTAACAGGCTAAGTATCAAATGATCAGTATAGAGAGTTGCTGTTATAAGGCCAGAGTAGAGAGTGATCACTGGGGAGAGGCGATTGGAGAGGCAAGTGTGAGCTGGTTGTTGAGGGAGGAAAAGGATTTGGACAGATATAGCAGAGGAACCACATGAATGAAGGTGCAGAGGTGTGGGGACATGGAAGGGTTGGCAGAGAGTTAACACTCAGGTTTGGCTGGAGTAGCAATGGTGTGTGTGCTACATAAAGCCAGAGAGAAGACCACGGTCCTTAATGTCAGGCATTTGGTCTATAGGCGATGGGGAGTCATTGAAAGCTGTAGAGTAGGGGAGTGACATGGGCTGTGTAATATGTTAAGGTGTTTCACTCTGGCTGCTCTGGCCTACACGGCAAGGTGGGGAGGAGACTTGAAGCGGGAAGACGAGTTAAGAGGCTACTGTAGTCCTCCAGGCTTCAGATGACGAGGACCTAGTGCAGGGGGTGGCAGTGAGGATGCAAGGTAAGGTGTGGAAGTGAGTCACTAGTGGAAGGAGTAGATCAGCTTCCAGAGGAGGAAGATGAGCCCAGGAAAGCTTAGTGCTGGGTTTCTGGAAACCATGCTTACCCCTTCCTGATGGCCATGTCCTCTCCTCAGGTCATAGCTGCTTACCAGGATGCAGTGAGCTTGTCTGCTACTGGGTTTTATAAGTAAGTATGGTGCTGGTCTCGCCCATCTCACAATGTATTGTCATCCTAATCTCTGTTCCCTCCTGCACTGAATTCTCTCGGCCTTTGGTCAGGAGAGAACAGTTCCACCAAAACTCTTACCTCTTCAATGGACGTCCGCTAATTTCAATTTAAAGATGCTCTTAAATACGTAGGATTACCAAACGATGTGCCGAGGAGGCGAAAGCACGTGCTGCCGTATCAGAAGATCTGTGTTCTAGTTCTGGTCTTGAAGTGCGCTGTTCCGCTTGGGGAATCAGTGGTTCTCTGAGCCTATTTCCTCGTTTATGACATAGTGGGACAATTACCAACCATTCCTCCCTCAGCGTTCTCCTGTAAGAACCAGGGGATCCAGTGTTCTGAGTTTCCCATGTGTGTTACTTTGTACTATGCATCGGATTTCTTTACGGAGGCTTTCCTTCAAAAGAACAAGAGGAGGATTTAGAGCATGTGATCTTGTTACAAAATGCAGAATTCAGTGGAACTTAAAGTAGGAGTTAGAAAAGAGCACACATCTGCAACCATAAAATTCAGTAGCAGCATGAAGAGCTGGAGACGCCGCCCATCTGATTTAGAAGCTATAAAAAGATATGATCATATTAACCGTCAGCCATAATGTGTTTTAGCTTTCTCTGGGAAATTTAACTAAGACCTTTTCTCTCACAGATCAATGGATTTGGAAAATAGTTTAATGTCTGCTTTAAAAGGTCTTGTGTGAATGTATGAACATATATATGATATACATCTATTTCATACATATGTGTTATACATATATACATGTGTATATACTTAGATATTAGGCAAAGTAACATTTTGCCAGTGCTCCCTGAGTTATGTAATATTTCACTTGCACAAACACAAACTAGTGCAGATTTTCTCATAAGTTCCTATTTCATTTTTGGAGTTAATGAAACTGGAGTTATGTAAGGAAACACCCAGATGAAGATGGTAAAGCCAGAGGTCAAAGAAGGTGATGGTTTCTCCTGGGAGAAGCCTTTTCCTCCGCCCTGTATTGGTTTTGTTTTCATATGGATTCTGATCACATCAGCTCACATTATTTCTGTGTAATGTATAGAATAACATAGATACAGAGCACTGTAAACTCTGGGTGTGAGAATACACACACACACACACATATATACATGACTCAGGCAAAAGTGGAAATGTATAAAATACTCAGAATTGAAAAAGAAAAAAATATGTGAGAGCATCTGCTTTTATTAATATTATTAATTAATATTATTAATAACACTTTCCTCAAATCACTTGTTGAAATTTAGAAGGTGCCCGTAGATGAGGAGTAATGCAGGCAAATGCTGCTTAAAGATGCACCCAGGCTGCAGGAGATACTGATCTTGTTAACTTTCACCTTGAGAAAGGTGTGCAGCCCTGTGAGCAGGTGAACTTGTGTGACCAGGAGCCAGAGCAGGCAGAAACTTTGGTTCTGAAGACCTTGAATTCTAGTTCAGTAGATCCTTTGGAGTGTGACTTTCGTGTCTTTGATGAGCTCAGGCAAATCTGTCACCTGTTTCTACCATGTGGAGTGCAGCACATTGATACTGCTAAACACTGCTCTCCTGTGCAGGATGATTCATATAAGGGCTGTTGGCGAAATGGAGCAGAGACAAGAAACAAAATTCTATGGAATATCTGGATTTTATTAATGAGTTCAAAATATTCAAAACACATGGACATTTTTTGAAGGACAGCTGAATGAAAAAATAAAACCTTTGGGGTCTTAAGATTTTGTGGGACAAGTTGTGTGTGTGTGTATGGGTGGAGGACATATTCATCTTAATACATATGCAGTATTTTCTCTTTTCTCCCCCAGAACACCTGACCTTGGCTACAGCTTTGAGACAAACTCAGGGAATCCCTTCCACTACTTCTCATATGGGGTGGCTTGCTCTGAAGTGGAAATTGACTGCTTAACAGGGGATCATAAGGTAAGAAGTTTACAGACCTTCAGTACCAAGGGGGAAGGAGAAACAACTCAATTGCAATACCAAGAGCTGATAGAGACAAACTTTCTGGTTGGAAAAATAATGCCTTACAGCACAGCTTGGCAAACTTCCTATAAAGGACCAAAGAGTGAATATTTTAGGCTTTCTGGGCCACAAGCCTGCCTCGGCTACTCAACTCGATCATTGTAGAAAACAGCCCTAGACGTATGTAAACAAATGAGCGTGGCTGTGTTCCAATAAAATGTTACCTATGCACACTGAATGTGAATTTCATATAGTTTTCACTTCACAACATATTCTTCTTTTTATTTTGGTCAGTCATTTCAAAACGTAAAGACCATTATTAGCTCACAGGCCCTACAAAAACAGGAGACGGGCTGGATTCAGCCGTGGAACATAGTTTGTTGGCTCCTTCTTACATGATCCACCCAGACTCAGGTTCAAAGCCCCAGGAACCTGGGAACGTGCCTTTCCTACTCACATGTGGGTGTGTGCACACTTATTTCAAATTACTGAGAGGACATTGCCATTCCCATCTCCTCCCCAATTGCTAAGAACTCAAACTTCAGCAGTGACGATGGCAGTGGACATTGGCAGGGACATGAACACCCCTGCCTGAGCGAGCCCAGGGCACTCTGCCTGTGAAAATGCTGTTTGGGTTGGCATTTAATAATCTGAGGATCACTGAGACCCATCTATCATTCCCCACATCCCTTTCTCCTCAAACTGCTTCCATTTTGCTGTCCACTTTAGAACCTCCGCACAGACATCGTCATGGATGTTGGCTCCAGTCTGAACCCTGCCATCGATATTGGACAGGTAGACTCATGGGGGACCAGGGTGGTGATGGACTTGGCCACTGATGTTCCCCATCCCCTCCTAGGGTCACCAGCCGTGACATCTTGTCCAAGGTCTGAACATGGTACCAAGTGAGTCTCTCTCAGAGTGGGGTTGAGATAGATGAAAGCCCACCCAACTCTTGAGGCAGAAGACAAATTAATGTGAATTAACTTGGAAAAGGCTTTCGCACCTCGGAAATCAAGATGATGAATGGTGAAAGCATTGGGCGCACACACGCGCGCACACACACACACACGCAGAGATTGAGAGGGGACACAACGTGGAATGGAGATTGAGTTTGGCATCGATACGCAGGCAGTGAGGTATGAGGTCAGAGGAGTTTTCTCCCTCCTCATTCCTCTTCCACACAGGACAGGTTTTGTTCTCCAGGAAGTAAATGCTACCGAGCATGGGGCGGGGGGCACTGGGGGCAAAAGACGGGTTTGAGCAAGAGGAGTAAAGAGATGAATGTCCTGAAGAAAATCACTTTTGGAAAATATGAGAGTATTGGGCAGAGCAGGTGGAACAGGAGGAAACAGAGGGAGGAATCCAGAACTGAAGTACTGAGCATCTGGTAGAAAATTAAATTGTATCTCTCAAAAATGGACAATTACTGAGTACACAGAAACTTAGTTGTTAGTCAATCTGTTCACTAATTCATTGAACAAGCATGCGGGGGCCCCTACTATGGCAGGCACTGAGCTCAGCACCGCAGAGACAGGATGATTAGTGCCTGGTTTCCCCCTGGAGCACGCTTGTGTAACTACAGCAGTACCACTTGTCGCTATTCTGAGCACTGAGGCTGGGAGTACAGACGCGTGGGCAGCAGAGCGTGGCAGGTGCCCTAAAAGAGATCTGTAAGCTACAGCAGGAGCACACTCTCTCCCAGAGGGCAGGCAGGGCTGGGAGTTCAAAAAGCCTCCCAGGAATCTGGGAATCTACTATCCAAGGAATTCCCTGTCTCTTGTGGGGCTGCTCAACAGCGCATGGTCCCACTCAGCGCACAGGAGGAGCGTGGGCCCCTGAGGGACACTCAGCAACCATTAGCCTATGAGCTGGCTTCTAGGCTTGGGGTCGCCATTTCTCCGTGGCAACATTGAAGGAACATCTCCACCTGCCCCGAGGCAGGTTTTAATGGGATATATGCCTACCACTGCGTGACCCTCTTGGAATCGCTGACAAGTTCTGAAACTGACCTTCAGCGTTAATGCCTTCGCTCTGCCCATGCCAGTGCCTGGCGAAGGCCCAGATAGGTTATGCTGGGCCCGGGCAGGAGCCAGGTAAGCAGTGGAGGGATGTTTTCAGCTTCTTTCCAGCCCCACTCCAGGTGGGGATTGGTGCCCATTGTGGGAAGCAGTACATGTCCTTGGGGAGGGGAGAGGCAAGGTAGCCACGGTCTCTGTCTGCCCTGCAGGTGGAAGGGGCATTTGTCCAGGGCCTTGGCCTCTTCACCCTGGAGGAGCTGCAGTATTCTCCTGAGGGAAGCCTGTACACCCGCGGCCCCAGCACCTACAAGATCCCTGCGTTTGGCAGCATCCCCATTGAGTTCAGGGTGTCCCTGCTCCGCGACAGCCCCAACAAGAAGGCCATCTATGCATCCAAGGTACCATTGCCCTGCGTCTGTGCTGCCTTCTGGTCTGCATGGTGGGAGACCACGGGTGGTGACCAGGGGATCCAGCCACTTGCTATGTGGGTCTGCAGGTGCTTGTCTGGAAGAGAGAAGAGGGTTTGATACTAGCCTTGGTGAGGACAGTGGAGGGGTGGGCAGTCCTGCCTGAGAACCAGGGAATTGGGCTAAGGTTGACACTGCCTCCGTGTGGCCAAAGCCAGCTCCTTTGTGTGCACTCATGGGGATTCCTTAATCCAGTCCTGTAGGTCAAATCTTGACCTACACCCATGTCTCAGGTGTGCATCCCTGATGCTTGGTCCTAGAGATGCTCTCACAGGTACAGCACCCCTCTAGTTCCATGAGAAGAAGCATATTCCCTGCAGATGGGGCAGCACCTCCATGAACACCCCTTCACCTCCTTCAGTGGCTGCCACCTGACCTTAAGACTTGATCAGCATGCCTGAAGGATTATAACCATCCTCTATTTCTTCCTTGTCCCCAATAAGTATGAAAAAAATGGTTGAAAATCAATTAAGCTGATTGATATAGTCCTAGATCTAAGAAGAAAGACAGATAGTCACTTGTAACCAATGAAACAGACCCATTTGCTCATCTCATGGTTTACTTTACTGTGGGAGGGTCTGGGCCACTTTGTGATCCTTGCCATTGGCTCTCACACTTTAGCAAGCATCAGAATCATTGGGAGCTCATGAAAAAAATGCAGTTCTATAGGGCCCACCTCTAGAAATCTTGATCCCATAGGTCTGTGGTAGGGCCCTGGAACGTGCTTTTTTTTTTTTTTTTTCCTGGAAAAGATTCACCCTGATCTAGCATCTGTTGCTATCTTCTACTTTTTTTCCCTCCCCAAAGCCCCAGTACATAGTCGTATATTCTAGTTGTAAGTCCTTGTAGTTCTTCTGTGTGAGCCGCCACCACGGCGTGGCTACTTACAGATGAGTGGTGTGGTTCCACGACAGGGAACCAAACCCCGGCTGCCAAAGCGGAGAACGCCAAACTTTAACCACTAGGCTATCAGGGCTGGCTCTGGAACATGCATTTTTAACAAGTGCTCCTAGTGATTCTGATACAGGTGGTCTCTGATCTATGCTTTGGAGGACAAAACAACCTCTGCTAGAAAATGTTTTAATTCCTGTTTGTCATAAGGCTTATATTCCAGCAGATGCTGTAAATATAATATGGTGCCTATAACTGTTGGTGTCAGAGTTGCAGGTGGAGTATTCCCATAGGCTTATAACTGTGAAGAAAGAGTTAAAATTCATGTCAGATTTTTTCGTCTATAACATACAATTATTTAATATAAATTTTAATGATACATTGTATTTCCATGGTGTCATCAGAAAAAATCACATAATAAGGGTTAAAAGAAATATGCCAAAAAGGTTGAATCATTTACTAGATCCATTGTTCTCAGCCCCTGATTGATTTTAAAGATTTTATTTATTTATTTTCTTTCCCCCAAAGCCCCAGTAGATAGTTGTATGTCATAGCTGCACATCCTTCTAGTTGCTGTACGTGGGACTCGGCCTCAGCATGGCCGGAGAAGTGGCGCCTCGGTGCACACCCGGGATCCGAACCCGGGCCACCAGCAGCAGAGCGCAAGCACTTAACCGCCAAGCCACGGGGCCGGCCCCCCTGATTGATTTTAACTGCCCTTCCTGCCTTGCTTGGTGTGGCCCGTTAGTGCTGGCTGGGGTTCCTGGCAACACCAGCCCTCCTGATGTGAAGCCTGGGGCCACTCCCCCTGATTCTCTGTCCTGTGCTCTGTCTGCTCAGGCTGTTGGGGAGCCGCCCCTCTTCCTGGCCGCCTCCATCTTCTTTGCCATCAAGGACGCCATCCGCGCAGCTCGAGCTCAGCACACAGATTATAATATGAAGGAGCTTTTCCGGCTAGACAGCCCTGCCACCCCAGAGAAGATCCGCAACGCCTGTGTGGACAAGTTCACCACCCTGGTACGATGCCTCTCGAGCGCCCACTCAGTCCTGGGGAGGCTGGGCATAGGCCTGAGAACTGCAGGGGAGGCTCTGCAGAGAGGAGAGGGAGATGTTAGGCTCTCACTCAACTGGGCATCCCTGGGTCAATGCCACCCTTCGCTATGTGGTTGAGGCACCCCCTTGAACTTGCAGGAAAATAACAAGAAACCCCCTAAAGCGTAGCTTGTAGCTGAGTCTCCTTAAAGTAAGGAGGGCTGTTTGATGCACAGCTATGACCCACAAATTTCATTATTTTCCATGAAGATGAGAGTGATGGGTAAAAGTCCAGAAGAGCCTAATCTTTAGGGTCCATCACTAGCATATTCGAGACCTTTCTTTGTTAGGGACACTGTGTGAGGTTCTATGGAAACGAGAGAAAAAGAGGAATTTATTGATTCATTAGATGGACCCCATGTGTCCTGTGATTACCATGTGCTGTGCTGATAGTGGGGACACATGGCTGCCCTTGGAGACTTTGCAGCCTTTAAGGAAACCAGATGACTGCATTATATTGATGGGTTACTAGCTTGGAGGTGTATGTAGCAGAAAGTAACAGGAGTTCCATGGTTATTGGAAGCATTCTCGGAAGCCCCTGTGGGATACTTGTAGAGGACAATGCCTGGTGAAAGAAGACCATGCCAGGACAGTGTCTTCCGCAATTGGAACCTCAGAACCAGCCCAGCCTCTGAGTTGCGCTGACGTGGGCACTGCACACAGAGGACTCTCCAATTGCCTTTGCATGGTACCCTTTGTTGAGTTAGCAGAACTGGGTTCTTCCTGATACCCAAGTTGGATTTCCTCCTAGGTATTTGATAGGAAATTTGATAGGCCTTTTGGGTTTAGAGGTAAAGTGTGTACTCACGGACCCAAAGCATTCCAGGGACGGGGAGGCTACAGGAGAGCCCTCGGGGCAGGAAAATCTGCCATCCCAGACCTCAGCACTGAGGATGAGGGAGGCAGATGGGTCCCCAGTCAGGCCACACTTCAGGTCTGCCAATAGCTTTAGCTGTAGAGTGAGAACCACACAGACCATGTGTGGAACTCCCAGGCAGTGAGGATGCCCACAGCTGTGCAGCAACCTGCCCACAGCCCAGAACCTTCCCACATGGCCCCGATGCTGACAGTTACCCAAACTCCATGCCCTGAGAGGAGAGGTGCTGCTGGGCTCCCAATAAGCTTGCACAAGTTGCAAAGTTAGCTCCTTGCAAACAATCTGATACAGAATTCAATGATTTAATGAGCCGCTCTGAGGCCCCAGACCTAAAGCAAAGATTCAAATCCAAGCCCCTTTGCTATGTTTCAACACACCAGTGATTTAAAATGCCTGCAATGGATTTGCATGAGCAGCTGAGTCTTTGAACCAATCATGGTTTTGAAGGACTGTGAGTGCCACGTGAGAAGGGACCACTTCTGTGTTTGTCCATCCCTGTATCTCCAGAGCCTACTGGAGTGCCTGCCACATGGAAAGTGCTCCATAGAAGTAAATGATTGACTAGGAAGTTATGGGTCCCTGCCCTGGGGACATTCCCAACAGTTGGGACTGCAGAGTGGTGTTTGGTCTTGGAATGGTGGTTGGCAGTGGTGGGAGGTGGCATGTGTGTGAGAGGGCAGGAGGGGGCACTGTGTCCCCTGCTATTGAAAGACCCTGGCAGTGAGTTTTCTATTGTTCTTCCCTAGTGTGTCACTGGTGCACCAAAAAACTGTAAATCCTGGTGTCTGAGGGTCTGAAGAGATAGCCCCCAGCGAAGTCTTCTTATGCTAGACTGGGGCTTCCATGGAGCGTGGATCATACCCTGCAGAACATGAATCTATAGAAGTCGTAGGATGGCACTGCTGTGAGTCATCAGGATGGTGTTTGGAAGAACACCGATGCATTGGAAGATTTTGATCAAAAATATGCTTTGCAAACATAATGATAAGCAAATTCAGAACTGTTGGGCCCAAGTGTTTAGTACACAATTAGGGTCATTACATGTCTGTTTTAATCATGTATTTGAAGTAGGTTTAGGAAGTATTTGTGCTATGTCTCAACTCACTAGGAAGCCTGTATAACCTCAAGGGCTGGCAGTGTCTGTCCTTCAAAGAGGATTCCCACAAACCTCCAGGAGCTTAAACCAAAGTTGTTCTAAATCCGTGTGCTTTTCCTCAGAAAGCCTTTCCTTCAAACCAATGTATGTCATATTATAACTCAGATCCATACTTAATTTCCAGTGGGACAGTGGGGTGAGAGTCAAACCTCTACTCACCTTTGGGTCATTGGAAGAGAATAAAGACTGAAACAAATTCAAGATTAATTGGATCCAATCTTGTTAAGCTGCATAAAGTAAGATTATTCTAGAACACCAAAAGCCGACCAGCCCAATTATTGAGCACCTACAGTGTGCTAGGTTTCTTCCTCTTCCACGTTGTGCATTTCAGAAAAAAGATCAGGTTTAAAAATCTTCATTTGAAGCCAGAGTAATTTCCACCTAGAAAAGATGCTACCAAAATCAAGATCAGCCAGAGGAAAAACGGTCAAGGAGCGTGGGTTCTCATCCCAGCTGTGTCTCTAACTGTCTGTGTGACCTTGGACTGTCACTTCCCTTTTTCTGTGCTTCATTTTACTGCAAAATAAAGGATTCAACTGGAATAATCTCTAAGGTCTTCTCCGGCTCTAAAAGTCTATAAATACATGACCTGAAAACTCCAGTTGCATATGGGATCTGTAGCTATCAAAGACGTGGCTCCCTCACTACGATGAGATATCTGCACCTAATGCACTCTGCTTAGATCCCCCCAAGTCCCTGAGGTTGGTAAAGAGGACAGGAGAAAGGCAAATACCCCCTCTCATTGCTCCAACAGTGATTTCATCACTATGTGGTGCTGGGTGGACGATGTGACGTTGCCATGTGCCTTCACTGAATAAAACACGCAGCCTTCTGCCAGACGGGTCCATGGTTCTGGCCATGGAAGGAGGATAGTGGAAGCCATGCAGTCGAGCCCAGTGCTTGATGTCACTAATACCATAAAAGAAACTGTCAGCTGGTCGGCATGGGAGAAACGTGTATTAGTCATCATAATCACACCCAATGCTAATATATGCTGTATCTTAGCAGCCTTCATTTCTAGAGAATGCACACACCCAACACTCAATATGCACTCACACTGACACACACACATACACACACACACACACACACTTCCTTACAGAATTCTCTTCCTCAGAGTATTCTACACAAGCTGGCTGTTTTACAGCACAGTTAAAACTGAAGAGCTTTAGAAATTGAACGAATATTTACATTGAGGTCCACACATGCCCGTTTCATTGATTTTCTGGAATGTTCTAGGGCATAGCCTGAGACTGAGACCTGTCAGCTGTTGTTAGGGCATAAGGGCTGAACAATGCCTGAATTCCCTTCTGAGCTTAGGAACAGAGGCAAGGCCAAGTGGTCATGAAAATCAAAAGAGCAAGTGCCTTGTGAACAGTCAATCGCTGTGTTATGCTGGATGTTGTCCTCTCTAGACACCTGACCTTGCCCTGCTGTCTTAATCTGTGAACTGCCTCAAGTCTACACTATAACGTGAGGGTCCTTGGTCTTGGTGACGCACAAGGGGTGCAGCCAGCGCTGCCTGCAGTATGGCACTGCAACCTGCAGAGGGTGGTGGAAGACTGGACGTGAGACCATAGTCTCCAGCGGGCCCAGCAGCACCAGGTCTATGGTTAGTTACTAGGGAACTGATTTAGGATTTCAGGGTAGCCAAGTGTCTTCAAAGGTCTCTCCAAGAGCTGCATTTGAAGCTGACTTAGGGTTTCAGGCTGACAAAAATCTCCTCAAAGGAGCTCTCTGAAGACGTGGGTCAGTGGTGGGAGACGGAGCTCCTGATGAATGGCTAGCTGTGGGAGGGCAAGTCTTCTTTTCTGAGTGTCTACAACCTCCCAGGTGCCAAATTTAGTGTTTTATTTACAGGGTCTCATTTAATCCTCCCAGTGGTTTTGAGAGGTAGTACTTTAATGTCTGTAACTCCATGAAGGAGAAGCCTTACTCACAGCCATGCAGAGGGCTTCCTCAGGGAAGGTTCCTACAAAACCACCACAGCCCATGGGCTACAACAAGACCATACAGGCCGGGAGTCGATCAGCCTGTCAGAGTGGACCCATGCTAAGCAGGCCCACAGAGGCTGGTGGAGGCACTAGAAGGCCTATCTGTTCACCTGCAGGCAGGGGTAGGATTCTCGTGTTGGTGAGCAAGCTGCTAAACTGTTGTCTGAAGGCAGCTGGTGAACCTCGTCCTACTCCAGAGCTAAGGTGGCTGGGAGGCCAGGACAGGGAGGACAGGATGGACGGAGGTCGTAGGAGGAACCCCGGGCAAGGGATAAGGACAGAAATAGTCGTAGCTGATTGATTTATGACTGGGAACATCCCCGAGCCCATGATATTTTTATCTTTAGCTGAGCGGGAGCCTGGAAGCCATTCCCTGTGCTGCCTATTTTAGATCCTGGGATAAGGCTAATCAGAACATGCAGCTTCCTTAACTTGCTGAGGTTGACATCACCCTGGGGCCCTCCAGACCCAGGGGCCCACCCTTTTGTCTCTATCCTGGACTGGGGGAGTACATGTCCCTAAAGCAGGAGACGGATCCTGTGACAATCTTGTCACCTGAAACAAAGCAGCCCACTGATGGGAGTGGAAATGTCAGGCAGTGCTCGAAGGCTTTTGGCATCATCTCTGCCCTTGAACTGGCCCGGCCCTGGCCTTGCACAATCCCCCAGACCAGCTCAGCATCCCAGAGCTGCACAGACCTTGGGGACCATCAAGCTCAAGCTTTGTTTTAGGGCTGAGAAACAAAAGCCCAGAGAGGGTAACTGGCTTTTTTAGGGTCCCACAGCGTTTTAGTGGGAGAGACAGGCTTAAGACAGGCTGCCTGACTCCTGGTCCAGACTCTTTAAACTAAATTATACATCCACTTGTCCAGTGAGCCTTCTCTCGTGCAATTAAATCATACATCCGCTTCAAGTGAGCTTCTCTTATGCAGTTGGGTCAGATTGCTGGGGGATATGATAGAAATCTAGTTATGCTGGTTGGGAGGAAAATGTGGAGAGCTTGGGGCCCAAGACAAACATGGCTGCAAGGAGGGGCATAAGCTTACTGCTGCCTAAGCTCCTAGGACAGGATGCTAAAATGGGATTCTTTCTCAAGGCCCACCAGTGGGAACAAAACAGTAAGTGCAAAACATCCTCTCATTCCAAAGTGAGGTGCTAAATCATTTATACAAGACCTGTAGAGGGGGTGGCTGGCAGCTGATCTTGCCACCTTTAGCTCATCACCTATCTCAAGGGAATAAAGGATTGAAATATAGAGTTTGAGAGATTGGAGAGAGAGGGTTTCTTTGAAGATAGCAAGCTGTACATCCTCCCTGCCAAAGAGCAGGGAGAGAGACTGTGTGTGTGTTGCGGGAAGGAGGATTCTCCCCAACCAGGCCATTGGAGGGGGAGCTTCAAGTGAACCATTCAGAGAACCAAACCATGTGAGCTGCTTGAGAAGCTGTGGTTGGATCAGCCTGAGGTAGCAGGGCAGTGACAGGAAGGAAGCAAGTGTGAGTTTCGCTTCCTCCAGTGTCAGGGCAAGAATACCAATTAGCCACAGTGGAGGAATCCACCCAGGCGGACTGCTGGGGGGCGGTGGTGATGTAACCCCAGCAGAGGGAGGGGCAGTCTTATGCCCAAGGATCAAAATAGCCTCAAGTCAGCCTGCTCCGCTGTGGCCCATGAGAAATACTCACACATCCTTGCCTTGCCTCCTCTGTTCCAGCCTGACATCCCCTCCCTCCCCACCCCCGTTATACATTTGCATGCACCAAACATCAGAGCTCCAAAATATATGAAGAAAACATTTACAGAATTGAAGGGAGAAGTAGACAGCTCTACAATAATAGTAGGAGACTTCAATACCCCACTCTCAATAACGGATAAAACAACTAGACAGGATCAACAAGGAAATAGAAGACTTGAACAACACTATAGGCCAATTGGACTTGACATACGTCTACAGATCTCTACTGTGCCTTTGTGACAGCCTGAGAGTGAAACCAAGGGTCCCTTTCCTGAGATTGAGCACTGCACGTTGGGAGGGGGGAGCGTAAGAATGGTGGTGTCCAGGCTGCTCCCGTTGTTCTGATGTGCTCCTGCATCAGCCCTGGGAGCACAGAGCACATCTCTGAGAGTCTGAGCAGCATGTAGCTTGCTCCCCTCTCCTCCCACCTCCCTGCCTCCAACACGTCCTGGAGGGGGTGGAGGTGCCTTCCCCTGTGCAGCCAACTGTCCTAACCTTTGAGCTGTTGACCAATATTGAACCGGCCCATGCATCTGCCCTGTGTTCTTCCTCCCACGAGGGGGTCAGTGTATTTCCGGGGGTCCTCCTTGCTGCGTGACACCCTTGAGGGCGCTGCCTCTCCGTGCTTCCCACCTAGGCTAGACTGAGTCCTGCCCTGGGGCAGTGGCAGGCACCACGCTTCAGCCCATGCTTGGCTGTTTAGGAACTGAGCATGACACGTGTGGGGCTGGCCAAGCCCCTCTGCTTCTCCTCCTCTTCCTTCTTCTCTCCCGGGCAAGTCGCTTAGCTCCTCTGAACCTCAGTCTTTCATCTGTGAAACACGCATGGATAATCACACCTACCCTGCTGCTCTGGTGAGGCTTAAAAGAGGGGCGGGGCTCACAAAGTACTTTGAAGAGTGCAGAGTTGTCCTTTCCAGGCCTTTGACTGTGCCTTAAAGGGGACGGACTGCCGGGAGATCACAGGTGAGCTTTCCAAAACACGGTGGGAGGGAAGGTGCAAGAATGAGTCAAACTCTTGACCATAATGAGGTATGGGGCGATGGGGAACTGGCAGCACACAGAGAGCTGTGGTCTCAAACCAGGGGAGACCAGCTCGTATTATTATATTTTGGCACAAAGGACAAAAGTGCTTGATTAGCATGTCTCAGCTTCTCACACAAACGTGATTTTCTCAGCACACTGCGCTGGGGAGGAGGGCTGGCTCTCAGCTCCCCAGGGCTGACTAAGTGGCACGATGAGATGGGGGGAAAGGGCCCACCGGGCTCACCCAAATGTCTTCACAGGCCTTTATCAGAAGGCTGGGAGGAGACAGTCCTTCTCTTTTATAACACATGCTGTTTAATCTTGTCTGATAATGACAACAACCTACACTCTTATTGCAATTTGCAAAACACTTTACCTTACAATGTTTAATGTAACACTTGCAGTAAACCTATGAGGTATGTATTACACTCATACACATTTTAAAGATGAGGAAACAGAGGCTCAGGGGAGAAGGTGGTGGTGCAGTCAAGAGCACTAGCTGTGAAATCAACTGATT